CTAATTTCATCATGTATGTATATATATATATATATATATCTCGCGAATGGTGATCGTCGAAGAAGGGTGCGCGAGCGAGATGATTCGTCTCGTTCTCGATTTTAGCTCGAGGATTTCAAAGGCGTGGGTTCGTTTCACCACTTTTTTCCTTCTCTTATTTCATTTTTCACGTTCGAATCGTTTTATCGCATTTGCGGTTGTTATGACGCTTGAGTTGATTTATCGTATTGATGTACGCATGTTCCGTGTCGATTTCAGCGTGGAATTGCGTCGAGTTGTGAACCGATGCAACCGACATAATTTTCTCTCTGCGCTTGGCGTCATTAATCAAAATTGCGCAACTTCGTTACGAGCATTAGAAAAATATTATTAAAATTGATGATGACGGTTTGAACGGGAAAGAGAAGTAATGATGTGAAAACATTTGGAAAAATATGTATGAAAAAGACGCGTATGTGATATTCTTTCTGGGTAATTTTTTTTTCTTTGATATGAAAAACTAATATTGACGATTATGTGGAATTATGTTTGAAAATCAATTAAATGTAATTGCATATTGTGGATTGGATGACTCCGAAAGGGAATGCGATTGCAATTAATAGTGGGATACATACGTTAGCGTGGCCGGGAATCCAGACACGCTCGACACGTTGCACGTCGCGTCGTCAATTTACAGTCGCGTATTGCGTATCTCGTACAATGGCATGAAAACCGCGTCGCATTCCAGAGCATGTCGGGGCGGTGCATCGCAAGTGGTTAACACTCTTTTGCCATTCAAAAACTATTCCGCTAATCACATTTCTGTAAAAAAAAACAGTTCTTTTGATAGAATGTGTCGTTGGGAGAAAGTGCGGTCCGCCAAAAATTTCTGTGTCTAATTTCACGAAACAGCGATACGAATAATGAAAACGCAACTAATGCAAATTGCAATACGAACACGTGACGCAGTTTCCAAATAACGGTTTGCAATTTTTTTCTGTTTATGTTGTTTCGCCGTAGTTTAATAAAAGACCGTTTGATCGCCGCTCCGAGATTAAAAGCTCCATTTATAGAAACGTCGCAAATTCTCTTTAGCGTTCGTCCAGCTTCGAGCGATCCGCCGCACGAGAATTAATCGAATCGGCTTCCGACGCGACTGTGACGCGGGATATCGGGCGAATTAAAGGAAAAAGTGTCTCGTCGGCTGTGGTCGGCGGCTCGCGAGATAATTGGATAGGGCGGCGCGCGAGTCCAATTTGCGGCCGAGTGAGTCCATCTAATTCCATGGTTCTAATCCCCGCGTTTCCGCGGTTATTCGGAATTTATGTTCCCTGCGCGGCGCGCACAGAGAAATGGATTGCATTAAAAGCTCCGGCGGATATGAATACGTGGAAATAACGCGCGTCTTGCGCAACGCTTATTAGATTACCGTCAGCTATCACGCGTTGACGCGGCGTTATCGTTATCTCCTCTCTCTCTCTCTCTTCTCGTTCTTGTACTCGATGTACCTGTCCAATGCATCGCCATTCACGCGTACGCACATGTGCGCCGGCGACGGCGACACGGCGGCGACGGGTGCATGTTGTGCGAGGAATACCGGGACTTTGAAGTTTAGATTTTTGAGAGAATATATTATATATTTTTTTGTAAACACGGTCTGATCGCGTGCTGCGATATGATCCTGTTAGTTCCTTTCTAAATGAAGATGTATATTAATGTGAAATTAATGTGAAACGATGTTTCTCAAAGTTAGTCTAACGTCCACTTGCGTAAATATTTTTTATATAAATATTAAATTTCTTATTTGAAATGTTGAATCAATATCGTATAAACAAATAATTAAATACTGGATTAATATTATAACAATTATGTAGAAAAGTCAATTATTCTTTGCTATAAAAATAATATATATATATATAGATAGAAATAAATTACATTGCATTAATTTATCGTAACATTTTTCTTTCTGTTCGCATTCGATTCGAACGCACGAATTGTGGACTGTAAATAAAGTTCTATTACGTTCAAGTTTGAAATCCAGGTCTTCGCGATAAAAAAAAAACTAATCGAATCCGTAATTGTTTTTCAGAATGCGCATGCACGGGTGCGAATCCTCGAGACGGTGCGCGCGAGTAACGCGCCGGTGAACGCGCGAAGAAATGAGATGCGCGAAAGCCATTAGGAATCCGCTCTCGGCGAATGTCATTCACCCTGCGGGCGCAACATAAGAAGAAGAAGAGAAGAAGAAGAAGGAGAAGAAGAAGCAACAGCACCACCACGCGAAAGAGGAGGCGAGCAAAGTGAGTGAATTCGCGCTCGCGAGACCGGCATTCTCGGGGTAATTCGTCGTCCCTCGAATCTTCGGCCACTGTTTCGGCTATCCGTTAGGGCGCCGTCTCGTCAGTTTCCCCAGCGCCGGCGTCAGTAGAGTGAAAGGCGCTTCGCCACGCGTGGCACCTCTTGAAAGAGCACATCCAGGGGAAAAGTCACGCGATATTTTCGCGGGGTCGTGCTGAAGCATGCGTGCGCCACACTCGGGGTCTTCCGTCGTTCATTAACGTCTCGATATAGCACGCAGCTGTATATGTATATATATATATTCCTGTATAAAAGATAGTCTTTCGTGACGTCTCGTTAACGCACGTGAATTTCAACGCGGATTCAAATTGCACCGAGACGCTCTCACTCTCGTTCGCAGTGTAATTCCGACCGCGCTGCGGAGATAGAGAGGACAAATTCTATCCGAAGGACTGCATAGTGAAAGAGCGCATTTGTCGATGCTCGCGAGGAGACGCCTTCGTCGTTCGTCGGGGGAGGAATTGATGGAATGCTCGATTGAGGAAGAGTCGGCGTGTGTCCGTGGTGATCGACGACTGCGGACGAGCGTTAATCGCGAATCGACAGCGAGGATGATCGCGCGGAATTCGCCGACGACCAGTGTCGATTATGCGATCAATGTGGACGAATCTAGAAAGAGCCGCTGCGCGATCTAATTCCGACGGAGATACGCTGGGATTGCTGCTGTTTTACGAACGGCGACGAAGAGCCTTCCTTCTTTAATACACACACACATACACACACACACACACACACCAACCGACCGACCGACCGACCGACCGAATTGACGTCGTCTATTAAGATAGAAGAGATTCTAGACTGATAAAGAAATATCCATCGACTGATAAAGTAAACCAGCGGAATCCAGCGCGACGCAGATTTATTGTCGCCATTGAGATTCCGGCGCCGTTCGCTTCGCGACCGATATAGCTTTCTCGATCGGAGTTCAGCAACGTCGCCTTCTACCTAAACTACCGTTAATTAGCCTAATTGCGTGCCGGGGACTCGAAATTATTCAGCGGCATCCGTGCTCACGCGAGTTTACGCTAAGTGTAAGCGCGCTGTTTCCTTCGAGAAACCAAGGCGACCGCAAGGACGCGCGGTTCCTGTTCGAAGCGTTCTCCCGGGAATCGAATCGACTTCAAATGAGCAGACACCGTCGATCGATCGAACGGTAAGTCGGTCTGACGAAGCGAAGGGACCGAGCGAAACTCAGCGTCGAGGCTCGGATTCGCGGATCGCCGTCGTCCGGATCGGAAGATATACCGAAGGATAAGCGGATCCTGTCATTGGTCCTCGGCGAAAGGGGACCGATCGTGGACTCCTGGTGGTGTCCTGTGGCCGCAGATGGGAGCTGGTCTGCTAGAACCCGGCAGGGTGATCAACCCCGTGCAGCAGCGACCACAATCGGACGAACTCTTCGCGATCGAGTTCGAATTCGCGACCACCGACCCGTCCTACGCCGACGTCGCTTGCCGACGTCACCGTCGATCACGAGACTCCTTCTTCCATCAGATTCGGCCGCGCAAATCCGATCAAGCTGGAATTGATGGAGTTGGAGAACATCGTGGCGAACACCGTGTACCTGAAAGCCAGAGAAGGTAAGTCTTGCTTGTGCCGTTTACTTATATGTTAGCTCGTCGCTCTTTACACTTTTCATTTATTTATTATTATATAAGTGAAGTGAACGATTGAACGGTCTTTTCATGATTTCGTATTTTCTTAGTAAGTCAGAAAATTAATTGCTTTATTATGAATTCTTAAAATTCTCGAAATTATTAATTACGCAGCTATTTTCTTTGCTTTTGTTATTATACAGACAAGAGGGTTATCTTTACTAACAAATAAATAAATTGATCAGTACTGAAAGTAGGCACGTAAAGTTAGTGAGGTTTTTGTTAAAATACATTTGTGAAAACATTTGTTATTGACAGCAATTAATCGTACGCTAGTTATAACGCGTGCATAAAAGAATGACCGATTTCAATAACGCCTGCAATAAGTGCCTGCAATTTCATTATTTTCATTTTTAAGTGGCGGCTGTTAGATAATTGAGAAAGTTTGCGCAATTTCAGTGGAGACATAGTTATAGAAGTTGTTTTATGATGTGCAATAATTAATGGTGCGCCGCGTTTACAGTGCGTGTCAAAAACAGTTATTGAGTTCAGTCGATTAGCGCGCGCGCTGAATGTACAATTCTGCTGTTTTACACATACGTGCTCGTATATAGCCTTCCCGGAACACCCTATACAAAGCCGTCATTACCGAGGGTTCGGGTGGGCGACATTTATTACGGGCGTAAAGTCGCCCAGTAATTTTAGCCGCTAGATTGAGCGTTCGGATTTAACGCGCAATATGCATCCGCGACCATTACCTACACGTTTCGAACTGCTGTCGTCAAGAAAATTAATCCTTAAGTACTTGGACGCAATCCGGAGCAAATGTAATATTTCCGTGCAAACAGGATTACATTCCCTCGAAGATTTTAATGCAGTTTAACGGCTGAACAAAAAAATTTCCTCTTTTTTTATAATTTTTCGCGTGTTACGAGATTTTTACGGCAGCTTTAAAAAACTTTAGATCACGAAGAATGGCGAGGGAAAACTTGCGCGTTTGATATTTTCTGTTCGCCGCCGGTAATTTAGGTCATTTTGATCGATAAAAAAAATCCGTGGGAGACATTTATAACGCCGCTACGTGAAAGACGGCGATTTCGCAGTTGTCATTTATATATATCTAGACGTGGTATCTAGACAGTGTTCGATCGAGAAATGTCTATCCAGCGAATGTTAAGTCACTTATGGCTTAGTGTAGGTGCCCGCGCTTTAATGCGCGCGTAAAACGATCGTGATGCTCGCGCCGACAGCTTAAGCGCCGCAACGCGAGCGATAGATCGAAGCAAAAAATCTTTACGGTGAGAGGATCTTTTTCTCTCCGACTTTTCAGTCCGGCGCACGTTTCAGCACACTTATCGTCATAGGCGCCGGTGGAACGCCTAAATAAAATAAACACCCTTTCTTATTTTGTCTTATCTTCACCAGCATTGATTTGTGGATTTACGTTATTTTCTGCTTACTTTTCTGGGCATTACACATCCCTAAATTTTTCAGCCCCCCCCTCCTTTTTTAGATAAGCAACAAATTAAATTTATAGCATAACGAGAAGTATGAAATGTATTGGAATACAATGGAAATATTAACAAATAAAATGTAAGAAAAGTTCAAAGTAAGGAAAATTTAAGAAATTTGAAATTGAAGAAGTATAAAGTATTTATTATATCTAACTTTTTTCGAACGCAAAATTTGTTTAACAAATAGAAAACATATATTTTAAATTGCAAAGATATAAATATTAATTGCTGCAAAATGTAAAAAGAAAAAACGAAAGTTGAAAATACTTGCAGGATATGAAGTCATATTTAGGTTCAAGCGCTTGTGGCGTCGCGACGCCCATGGCAGACACGCGCTCAAACGTTGGTAAACGAAATTACGTATATCACGCGAGCGGAGTCGACCGATATCGCTACCGTATATTTGTTCCTTAATTGATATACAGGACGGACCAGAGAAATAGAGAGAGAAAGAGAGAGATTGAAATATCGCCGGTGCGATATGTCAGCCGTACAAGCGCGCTTAAAATCCTCTCGCGATAGCACTTCTTTTTACTCTTTTTTTTATTGCAGATGGAATCGTCGATCCCGGCAATATCGAAAAAAAATATACCGTAAGCATTGTAACGATATGTGTGTACAGTAAACATAGAATCAATCGAAAAAAGCATCTGAAGAAACATTAATTTTCCAGGTTTTATTTGTAAACTTATCGAATTTTTTTACAATATACAGAAAATAATGTGTAAAACTCATGTATCGAATAGGAAATGTCACAATTCTGACAACTATGCATATTTATAATACTACTTTCTACAACGTCTTCGATTTTTACATTATCTCCGACTTGTTTATTCCGAACGATCCTTTTATTATAACACACACGTGTAAAACTGTCTGACACGGGCGGTCAGTTAACGGCGTTTTGCGAGAAACTCGAGCCGACGAAAATAGCATCTCCCGCGCACCTCTGACGCTTCCGTCAAAAAGTAGGAACTCGAGAGATTTTTGCAGGGACAAATACACTCGATTCGACTCTGTTGCTGTCTATTTTTAGTCTTGTTATAAAGTACAATGAACTTTTCTGCTGACAGGAAAATGTGACGTTTTACTTCTCGTTATGCTTTGCAACGTCCCACGGGATAATATATAAGTAGGTTTTCCAGGTTTTCCCACGTAATTTTTTACTCGGAAATTTATTTAATTATGGGAATGATGGATTTTCAACACGAAAGAGTTTTTGATAATCATAAGAAATTTTCTTCGCCGCGAGAAAAAATTAAGAAACCATTTTTTGTATGATTGAATATTTCCGACGGTTGTTATTTCTGTAATGCGAAATAATATATTGAAAAGTTACTGTATTAAAAAAATAATTTTCTTGTCAAACTTTTGAAATTCGATCTAAAGAAGGATTTAAATTTTTATCAGGGGATTAAATTTGAAAACTTCGTGTCTTACAGCTTAATATCTGGAAAGTTTCCCAAGTTGACTTTTACAAATAACGAGTGTGACATTGGTGGATGTTCGCGTGATATGTGTCCCAAATAGACAGTGTGTCATTTGTTCGTTTATTTCTCAGCGGGATTTTATTTCGACGAAATGCAATTCAAAGGATTGAGAACTTGAAGTCTCTGGGGATACTCGAATAAAAAAATTTGCATAGAAATTATGATTGCATTTTCCAAACGCAAGTTTCGTGCGATCACCGTGAATTGCACGATCGGCTGTAATCAGTCGATCCAATGGGGGGAGGGTTATCATCGCCCGTCGGTTCAATTAGTGTATTACGAACGACGTCCTGTCGAAGAGTGCAGGCGTGCCGCGCGCGATGGTCGGAAAGTAGGTAAATGGGTTCGCGTGATAGCGAGCCAGCCTGCGACCACGTCAATGGCCTTGTAATCGCATCGCCTTGATAAACTTTGTAAATGAAAGCCTCGGGGTAGCTCGGCCGTCGCGAATTACGTAAGTGTACAAAACGGGTTACCGGGGATAACGGATTAATTAGCGGTCTCTTGTATGTGCCGTAATGCGATACGTAACGTAATTAGCGGGCGCGCGATCGGGAAATGACTGTAATCAATTTGTTGCGACGGTGAAAAACCTTTCCGCTTTCGAGAGCCCAATTTATCGTGGTTGGTTATTTGCAGTCCGTGTTATGACGCCGTGATATTTGCGTGTCGAGAGGTGTGTCGTCGGTGGTGTTAATCCTGGATTGATTCTCGGAGGACACGTGAATTTGCATACATAAAATTAGCACCTCGACACAAAGTTCAGTAGCTCTCACTAAAGTTTCAACTTTCTTTCTGAAGAGTCCGTTAACACTTTTGAAATTGTGTTGGAAAGACGAACTATTAACACACTTATTATCGAATCTGAAGTATTTCTGGAATTTATATATTTCTCTTTTATGAATATTACATTTATCGATCATTATTGAAAATTTCAGCACTTTCTCAAAAAGAAAATATTTAAAAATTTAGCGTTGGAATTGAATAATTGTAATAATTAGTCACAATTATAAATAAATTTACCACGCATTTTTAGAAATTTTGCTAATTTCTAAGAAACATTTTACTGAATTTTTCAAAATTTGATTTTGAGAAATCTTTAGAAAATCTTCGGAATTATGAGCCGCGATACGATAAACAGGTCGTGTCGTTCATAAAATTTAACGTCGAATGAAAAAATGCCGAGAGACGATGCATTATGCGACTGTCTTTGCGATTCCACGATCAAAGATGCATTTCGGAGATGGATATACGCACCGGTGTGCTCGTATAATCAAAAGTCATGTTTTGTCGTGTCACGCAAACTTGAATTATCATAATGATAGCAAGAAAGATCTCTACGATGGAATCATAATAAACGAAGCTAGGAGGCTATGCCTGTCGTTGATATAATTATACGTTGATGACGGGGGCGTGAGAAAGTTTCACGGTCATAGACAGCCGGGGTATCTCGGATAAATTTCCTCGCGCTTGAAGCAAAGATAATTATTTACAACGACATGTATAACGAAATCGCGCAAAAATATCTGGTCGCGAAATTTGATGAAATGTACCAGCGGACGAGTAAACATTAAAATCATTTGCTTGAGTAATGTTATCAAAAATTCCTAAGAGCTTAATTGTTTCAGTGAACAATTTGAATAAAAAATTCAAAACGAGAAAGGAGCAATTCCATCATTTGCAAGGTTGATTTTAAACGCTTAAACAGTTTACACTTACAATAGAGCTTTTACGAATCGGATTTATTTTAATCTTTCTTTAAATTTTTTATCGTATTTTTGGTTATATAATTCTGTTCTTTTTAAATATTTTTTTGTCGTTTTTTAAAATTGCACGAAACATGCGGTTATTGTCGCTTGCTTTATCTCTTTTCGCGTTTTATTGATGCGAATACGGGTTTTCATTTCGCGGCAACGCCAACACGACTGCACACCGATTAGACGAGATTAGCAACAGCTGTACAGAATGGCCCAATATAAACAGAACGATTGAGCCTTGCCCGCGAAAGATACGAAACAAAGTTTCGATTGCTCGGTCTCTCGAATTTTGCTTTAGTTTTTTATAACAGAATTTTCAAGTGTCATTATATTTTCTTTAATTTCTGCCTTTGAAATATTGATACGACTATCAAAAATTAATTCACTGCTATTAATTCGAAATTTAAATACTCGGCTTAATTAAAAATTATAATGTGCTTTCGAACATTTCACATTCAACGATTGATCGGTGAGAGATGATAGATTTATCCTGCAAGTAGGACGCAACGTGTATCAAACAGAACTTCATTCCGCGCGATGCAATTCGCACGCATCGGAGCGCCGCGTCGCGCTTCCTCCCCCGTTTTCCTTCTTTTACCTCCGGCAAAGAGAAGGTGGAGCTACGCGACCCCCGACTTCCGCTCGTTGGGGATCGAACGAGCGGGCTCGTGCATGTCGGCGAGGTACAGGGTGTCTCGCAGAGAATGTAAACCGGCGCCGAGGACTTTATTCAACTCTTTCAAGCTTATCTCGAATTGTTGCGATCTTAATAAAAATTTTTATTTGAAATTTGAATTACTCGTAATTCTTTTTATTTTTAATATTAAATATTTTATTAATGCGATTGATATTTATCGAGACAAACTTAATGCTTGTTTAAAAAACAATGTCATCATGAATTATTTTATATTATTAATACTTATCATATATGACTCAAGCAATAAGATTGCGTAGAATTGAGTTTATTTAATTTAAATTCCATTGTTGAAATTTTCTCGACTTATCCAACATCTCTGTTTGCTCTCTGTCAAAGTTCCGAACGCGTCGTTCGGGCTAAATGCACGGACAAAAATAGGTAGCTTTTGTCCCGATGTATGGTTCTCTATAATCGGCTTTCTGTCAGATAATCTATTATCTCACGGTACAGTTGAGAGATATAGCTTTCTTGGGATGGCCTGTACGATAAGTTGTTCACGGAAGCGAAAAACTGGGACCGAGGGCCATGCGTTTCCCTCCGCTTTTCCGTGTTTTTCCGCACGATCGATACCGTCGTGCGGGATATTTTGTGGGTTTCTCGCCGACTACTACAGCGTCTTTTTGCCGTAACCAGAATTCGTTTAGCACAACTGAACGTATAGAGTATTCGAGAACTACTGCCTTGCGTTCACTCTTTTTATCCGTAAATTGCTCCATTAATTTTAAGTCGGTCTTTCCATTTTTAAGTATCTTTTTAATTAAAATTAAAATTTAGATTCTGATGAATAAAACTTTATTTCAAATTAAATATACTTTTATTATGTCTTTTTGCGGAAAGTTAAATCTCGCAATTTCCCAGAATTTCGCTTCTCAAAGCAGTAATAAAATATTAATGTCCAGGTATCTTTTTCATTAAAGAGAAATCAATCTTACACATAAATTAAAGAAGTTAATAAAAATTTTAAATACTCTGCGTGCTGTTAAGTTATGCAGCTACTTATTTTCGCAATTTAGTTATTGGCGATAAATTCCTTCCGTCTCTTTTCTCCTTTACAATGCTGAATAGCGGTATTATTCGATAGAAAGCAACGCAATAACGACAAGTATGCCATAAATCATTATTGCTGCATATCAGCGCGCGGCATCATATAGAATGTGCATTGTAACGCGACGCGCATTTTTGCAACGTGTTATCTAATGTTATGACACACATTCGCGTCGAAGATATTAATAAATTTCTGTTAGCGCGCAAGTCTTTCGCTGTCGGTTTGCCGTTGTTGCAAGTAACGCCTTGCATACGGAATGATACGAGTCTAAGTTCCGCGGTTGAACGATGAAGCATGTCAGAAGTTTAGCTTGTCAAAAACACATCACTCTTAGGACATCGATTTCTTGACGTTGTACATTTCGCGCGGTTAAAAAATTGGTTAAATGTATTATTGAGTTATTTGAGAAAAAAAAGATGAGAAAATGAGATGTTTATTGAGCAGAAATTAAATTTATCTTGTGTGCAAACTTTTAAATTTTGATAAAGTTTATTATGTACCAAATATTTTAGATATTCTGAGATTTGTGTTTTTTAAATTCTCTGGAAACGCGAAGATAATGATAAAAATTGTCGAAATTAATTTCGTTAAGAAATTAAATATGAAATTTGTTACTGTGCATTTACTCTACGCGATAAAAAGAACGAACGTTCTCTGAACGACGGAAAGAGAATCGTTGAAACTGTGAGAATATTGTATATATTTCCGGCGATGAATTATGAACGGCGAGAGAAGGAATAACTTTCTTCTCGTTTAACCTCCATCGCAACGGATTTCTCGACGTGACGTCGTTTCGAGTTCTAGGAAGTGCCGGGATAAATCTCGTAACGTTGATCCAATATCTGCCGTTATTCCCGTCTGAGTGAATTCTGTAACTTCCGGTACTTTTCAATCCGGTGTTCCGCTGTTCATTCGCCGTGAAGACGTTGGCGAGAAGCGTCTGCTCCGAATCATATAGACGTTAAAGTCTTCGCATAAATTTTTAAAGGACTTTTTTCAGATAATCTCAATCTGCACGAATTATCAGTTAATTACTATAATTAAAGTTTTCACGATATTGGAACCTCAAAATTATAGTTGATCTTTATTCGGCAAAAATTTATTTCGCAAGATACGATTTGCGTTTTTTTTCTGCATCGAAGCGCTCAGCTTTCTCCTTCATCGAACAAAAAATACGTCGATTAAAACAATGACTTTACCGTATTTTAATAATACATTTTTAAATGATCCATCAACGCACGTGCAGCCGTATATCGGGGATTACTACACAAATTGCACTCGAGCTCTAGCTAATGATCGTCATAGGCGAGCTGTGCGCGTATTTACTTTTAATTAATATACGACATCGCACATGGAAATTAGAGAATTCCACCCCTTCGTTTATGTAACGTTTTCTTCGTGCAACGCTTATATAACATTCCGCATGTACGACGATAAAATTCTCGGTAATGAAATTTGAGATAACACGCATTAATGTAAAAATATTCGGCGGCACAAATAAAACGCATGGAGAATAACCGGTTGCTGTGCGCATATATATAATGTGTAAAGGATAATTAAAATTTTACTCATAGGTATAATTGTAGCTCTCATTATATTTTAGTTTGTGAATTTTTTATGCTTTCGCATATTTGAAAGTTTCCTTTGTCTTTCTGTGCAGGTGGTGGTGATAGCAATAAGGGGAAGAGTAAGAAATGGCGGAAGATACTTCAGTTCCCACACATTTCCCAGTGCATCGGCCTAAAAGATAAGCTAGGTGAGTCTAATTTCAAAACAATTCACAAATTCACAAATTTTAAGAAATCGAAATTTTAGGGAAAGCTGTTTTATTTGTATAATATTTTGTGGGAGCGATATCTCAAATTTTTTTGCGACAACAAATGTTCCATATAAAATTCACTTTGCGATTATTGAATCTCAACGAGCGACATGCAATGCGTACTATGCAGTTGTTTTAAAAAAGCTGCAAGCGAAAATGAGACAATGCTCGTTTGCGTGTTCCGTTAACCTACTCTGATAACGCCCACCCTCTTTGAAGTAATCAAAACTCGTGGATGAATGCGTCTCTCTTATATTCGCAAATAAGTCGTATAAAATATTCAAGTTTTTTCTTAGTACCATTTAATGCTATTATTTTAAACGGTTGCTATAAAACTTTGACGAATTATTTTAATTTAATATTTTACTGAAAATGTTATTTTTCTTTACAGAATATTATTTTGTGATATCACAAAATTATTAATTTTTTAAAAATAAACTGAAAACTTTCTACAGAATGATCAACGTATGTTACTTCAAAACGTGACATTAACTCAGTTTTTTCTTTTACTGGGATTAAAATGTGAAGTATTTGTTTCTGAAAAATATACAAATTAATTTAAAGTTATTTTTATCTGGATAAATGTTTCAACGTATCGAGCAATATGTTTTTATTTTTTCCAGGAAAAGAAAGAGAATAGATTTAAATTTTTTCAGAGATAAATTCCGGAAATCTGTACTCCGCTTTTCTACGAGGATTATTATATTCAATATGTATAATGGAATATTACATTTCAAATAAGACAACTTTGCTGAACATTTAATGTCAACTTTTTCGAGATTAAATCGCAGGAATATAATTGCTATAAATCAACGAATCACTAAATTAACATAATTCGTGATGTCGGACAGACATCAGATACGGCTATGTCGTGGATCAACAGCCGATCGGACGGCTGCTCTTCCGACAGTTCTGCCAGGATAAGAAGCCGGCCTATCACCGTTACAACCTCTTCCTGGACGCGATCGAGAAATACGAGATTGAGCTGGACGAGAACCGCCTCGAGCTGGCGAAGGACCTGTTCGAACAGTACCTGAAGCGTGAGGGCTCGGAGGTGGTCGACATCCTGAACGATTCTTTGATCTCGCAGTGCGAAGAGCGACTCAGTTCTGGCGGCAAGGAGCTCTTCGTCGAGGTCGCGCAGACTGTGAAGAACTTCCTAGCCGGCGAGCCGTTCTCGGCCTTCCTCAGTAGCTTCTACTTCTATAGGTAAAATATCACGATTAAAAAAAAACTTTCTTTGAATTGGAATTAATTTTTAAAGGCAAAAGCTGTTATAATCTTCCTGATGAAAGCGTTCCGTATTTCGGCGACAATCGAGCGACATTTTTTTTCTTGCATCTCTTTAGGTATCTCCAGTGGAAATGGCTGGAGGCGCAGCCGGTGACATACAAGACCTTCCGGATGTACCGGGTATTGGGCAAAGGCGGCTTCGGCGAGGTCTGCGCCTGCCAGGTGCGCGCCACCGGTAAGATGTACGCGTGCAAGAAGTTGGAGAAGAAGCGAATAAAGAAGCGAAAAGGAGAGTCGATGGTGCTGATCGAGAAGAACATTCTGCAAAAGATCAATTCCAAGTTCGTCGTCTCGCTCGCGTACGCGTACGAGACGAAGGACGCGCTCTGTCTCGTGCTGACCATCATGAACGGCGGTGATCTCAAGTTCCATATTTACAACATGGGCGGTGAACCGGGTTTCGACATAAATCGCGCCCGATTCTACGCGGCCGAGGTTGTGTGCGGCCTGGAGCATCTTCATCTCCAGGGTATCGTCTACAGGGACTGCAAGCCGGAGAACATACTGTTGGACGATCACGGTCACGTGAGGATATCCGATCTCGGTCTCGCGGTGGAGATCACGGAGGGCGACATGGTGCGCGGTAGGGTGGGCACGGTGGGTTACATGGCACCGGAAGTGATCGACAATGAGAGGTACACCTTCTCGCCTGACTGGTTCAGCTTCGGCTGTCTGCTGTACGAGATGATCGAGGGCCAGGCGCCGTTCCGCGCCCGCAAAGAGAAGGTCAAGCGCGAGGAGGTCGACAGGCGCGTCAAAGAGGATCAGGAGAGGTACTCGTCCAAGTTCAGCGAGGATGCCAAGAACCTGTGCCAGCAACTGCTGAAGAAGAGCCCGAAGAACAGGCTCGGCTGCAAGTGCGCCCGGCACGGGGCGCGGGAGGTGAAGCTGCACAGCTTCTTCCAGTGCTTGAACTGGAAGAGGGTCGAGGCCGGTATGTGGGAACCACCGTTTGTGCCGGATGTAAGTAGGTGTTGTTGTGATCGATTGTCTTGTCCACGTCGAGACTTTGCGTTCCACTTCTTCGGCTCCATTCGCGTTCTTAACTTCTTCTGTTACACGCGTTCCCGTAAATCAATATGTAGCGATGCTTTTCTTTTATCTATTTGCGCTTTCTGTGAAATAAGATTTTTAGATATTCTCTATCCATAAGCTACGTAAAAACTTAACAATTAATAAGTCTCAATAATTATTTCGATAAGTTTTACAAGTTTAGTAAATTTCTAGAAGTTTTAACGTTATATTATTTCTGTTTTTCTTATATTAAATTTCTGTCACAGGATTTCATTGTTTTGCGCGTGCTATAACGATTTATCATTGTCATAAAAATTCTAATATTCTGAAAATGTAGATTCCAGAAGATTATTAACCATCATATATCATTGTTACAGCCTCGCGCAGTTTACGCTAAAGATGTTTTGGACATTGAGCAGTTCTCCACGGTAAAAGGCGTCAATTTAGACGCCACGGACGACACCTTCTATAGCAAGTTTAATACCGGCAGTGTGTCCATTCCATGGCAAAATGAGGTAAGGCAACCGTAAATGTCACACATCCGTATTGTAATCACCGATTGTGAGACACGTTACGTCTCGTAGAGGCTTTTGACCCTTCCCATAAAAATAATATTGATCTTACGTGGCACCCGGCAGACGACTACTTAACAAGATCTCCATTATAAGATGAATGTAAATCACATTCTTCGACCGCCCACGTGCGTCTCAAGCCCTCTCACTCTCTCTCTCTCTTTCTCTCAAGCTTTCGTGTCGATATCGACACTTAGTGGTCTAAAAGTAATGTCTAAACATATGTATAGGGTAGTCTGAATTTTTCCCCTTGAATTTTTATAACAGTTTTCTCGGTAAATTTTTAACTAAATTTTTCTCTTCCAGAATATTGCCAAACGTCACTAGTGTAGCATTCTTGAAAATGTCAACATTAAATATTTTAGTTAAACTTCGTTGAAGTTCTGCGAAAGTGGAATTTGAAGCGTCGCAAGGGAACAATGAAAACTTTATTATTTAACTGCACTTTAAAAATACGGTTCGCCGATTGACCCGAGTGTCCGCTTCTCACTTCCCGAAATATTTTATACGCGGAACATCTGGTGGCACTTAGATCGAGAAATGTGGAGCTCACAAAAAGTATTTTCCTGCGTCAGAGGCACCGTGAGAGGCTTCTTATCACTGGCGTTATTCGGGTGAATGTATTTAAAGCCGCGATGCTGCGTAGATGCGTTACACACGCGAGCTACCTTAAGTCGCTTACTACGCACTTCGTGGACCGAGATTGTCGAACCGCGACTTGACTCGCCCACCTTGGCTTTTTTCTTCTTGCAGATGATAGAGACTGAGTGTTTCAAGGAGCTGAACGTATTAGGTCCTAACAACACGCCCACTCCAGACTTACTGATAAACCATCCGCCGCCCAACAACGAGGACAGAGGCTGTTTTCCCTTTCGGAGAAAGGTAAGTTGTTTTACGAGTCCTCGAGTTTCTTAAACTTAATTTCGAACAATTCGAAATTAGATTTTTGCAATGTGTAGTAGCGAAAAGTTTCGAGCGCGGACCTAAAAGGTGTCTTAGAATTGGAAAAAATTACAGCTTGGATAATTCGAGATATATCCAAAGAATTTTTATGACATTAAAAGAATATTTAAAAAAAAATACTCAGAAGGATGTTATATGTTTGTGAAACTTTTTTTCTCGCGTAACAAGTATAATTTGCAGAATTACTATTAGAATATTATTAAAGTTACACTGCGATTGTTTTGTGCAGAGAAAACAGAGCGCCCGCACGAGGGAGGTGCCTCTGTCGGAGTGCCATTTGCTGGAGCTGTCGCAGACACAGAGCTCGGAGATGCCGGCCAGCTGATCCAGGGTGAACGCGAGTAACAGCCTGAATGGATCGACGTCGTCGCCGTTTCGACGCTGCTGCCGCGGCTGACGACGGCGCGTGTCCATGTGCTGCTGCCCGTGGTTGCTGTGATAAGAGCCGGCCGATCTCCCTATCTGTCTCTCCCTCGGCGGCGCCTGAGTCCTCGGCAACCGTTTACGTAACGGTCCGCTCAAATAAAAATAATAAAAAAAAATATCACTGCGGCTGCGGACCCGAAGTGAGTCTCCGATGCGTTCCCTCGACTCGGAATCCGAATTCGGCTCCGAGATTCGCGTGGCAAACGCGCGTTTGCGTGATGTTACATGCATACACACGCCTACGCACGCACATAGATGGGAACATACATCTACATGCATGCCAGTATTGTATACAGTCAGGAGCGGCGTAGGAACATATACGTTACCAAATATATCTTTCCCGAGTTCGAACACGGAAACATCCGACATGTACCTCTGTACATATATCGATGTGTGTTTCATTGAGCCTCGACGTCACTCGTGCATTGCAAACACGGTTCAGACGCGTCGCAGACGAGAACTCAAGGCGGTATAGATAGATGGATGGATATATTACGCTCGATGCGACTACGCGACACGAGGTATGTGTAATTTTTTTTTAACGCGAGGAAAATTTCTCTCAAAATGTATAATTAGATTATTTTATTTCTCGTTAATCGCTCCAAGTATTCACTCTCGAGGTGTTTTTTAAGTTGAAAAGCGACGAGTACATCCAGGTGTACATAGCAAATAGATGTTGCAATCATTTGCGCAAATGGACACTTTTATACGTACTTATGAAATTTTTTAAATTAATGAATATAAAAATTTATTTATATAATATTAACTAATTATCAGGGAGAGCGTTTCTCATCGTCTCCTTGCTAGATCTTTAGTATTTTATTCTTTATGATTCAGAAGTTTATCACCATTCTGTAGGGAAAAATGGAGAAATTTATATTGGCGGATGATCGAGTGAGAAATATGCTGCAATCTAACTCTTACACTCGATCCGCCCTATTGCTTTTAAATATTTCGAAAATCTCGAGACGATCGCTCAATCTAGCTTTTGATCGTCGATGACCTCGATATATCCTTCGTAAGGTCGTATTGCTGGTCGTATTGAGGCGAATAAACCAGACGGCCAAGAACTTCGGTCGTAACCGAAGTTGCGCGCGAACGGCTTCTATGATTTATGAACGTGCGCGTGATAGAATCTAGGATAGGATTTGCAGGGGCCGAAAATAGAGTAGGAAGAAGCGCGTAGACGGGCGATAACGAGCGCGCACGTGGTACGGACAGATCGTAAAGGAACACGTGAGCCGGCGCTCACGCTCGCTCGCCCTCGCGACATTAAGCTACCGACAAACGGACACCCGATACTACCGCGGAGCAAGTAAACACTCGCGTGTACTCGCACGTTTATAAACGTTAACCCGATATATATCCGGAGATTGCAACTGTGCAGGCATGTGAATAGGATGCAGTGAATTGACGGCGCCGAGAAGACGCTATATCAATGCGAGTATCATTGAAGTATATTTATCTCGCTGCCGGATGGAAACATAAAAAATTTCTAATTTTATAAAATATTTTTCTATTTAGAATCGCACTTGGCAACATTATATTATTAATAGTATTAATATTATATAATATATACTATATATTATATTATGTAACATTAATATTGTGTAATATAATATAATTTTACATTAAATTATATTATGTTATAATAATATTAATATCATATACTATATAATAATATAAAAAATAACGGAATTATTTACTTAGGAAAATTCTCTCAATACAAAAACTGATAAAATACTTTTATTATAATTTAAAAATTCGAATTTTTAAGCATTAATATTTTTATAAATATTTTGGCAGTAAGTTACAGCTTTGATTTTGTAACAATGAGATGTTTGCAACGTGTAAAGATCTAAAGTAAGATGAAGCATCTGCTCGGACGCCTTTGAACACTCTGTACGACTTTGATCCAACTGCGAACTCGAATCGGCGTTACCGCATCTCAAGGATGGGCAAGTGTCCAGAAAGTAAGAAATAAGGGGTAACAAACGCAAATTGCATCCGTCGACAATTTCGGGAAACCGCGTTACGATCGAGCAATATCCGCGTCTTTTACGAGTGTTTTTCAAAAAGTTACAAGTCCGCATATCACTTTCGATGCACCAATCTTATTATATTGTCTCGAGGGAAAGAAAACACGAAAATTCTCCTGATGCGGCCAGTATTCGAATTGATCTGAATATGATTGAACTTAATTTTAATAATATAACAAAAACTCTAGTTACAATTTTGGTTTATAAGGAAGTTACAAGGAACTCGACTTTAGATTTATCGAGGAATTTTTCGTTAAAGCGAAAGCGAAGATTCCGGAGCAGCCTATCTATTGGAAAGACGCAGTTCGCGAACTTTATTTTTATTACAAAATACTTTGACGAAAATATTTTTCAGCGATTTATTTTCTGTCTAACACGACACGTAAAATTCTTGTTCGCGCGACATTTTTGTAGCACTAGCTGAGAAATTCGCGAGAAGATTTTGCGAATCGCGACGGGTCGGATTAATGGGCACACTCGGATAATTCGTGAGCACTTTGGCCGTTCTCCAATCGCGATTCATGTGCCAGCGATTCGAGCTTTCGAAGTCTTCGCTATTATTTGGCGCACAGTCGTTCGGGGTAACCGTGTTGAAAATATCGTGTCACTTTCCTTTATTGCATCTCATAAACCCGGATGCGAACATCGATGCACTCGGAAATGCATCATTCTTAATCGCATGGAGAATCTTACAAGAATCGACTACGGCAAAATAGAAAATATGAAAATCATGTTTCATATTTTTTATGATTATCGTATGATTTTTATATTTTCTATCTTGGATGCTGCAGATGAATCTTGTTTTTGGTTAAACATTTGCCGCATTGCAAACACGATAACGAGTTTCTATCATTTATGAATGATTGACTCGATGATTATTATATCAAATGAACACATTGTACAGAATTAGTTTTGGAAATCTTATCAGCCAACTTTTCATAAGGTAAGAGAAGAAAAGAGAGAGAGAGAAAACCTATAAAAACAATTACGCGATTATTAAACGAAAATAATAGTTTCAAGCCTTGTAGAATTACAGGCGGCATAAAGTCGTGCGTCATATTAATTTCTTATCTTCGTATGCATTTTTTTATTTCTACGGAATTGTTCGGAAAAACAAACGCACAATTGATCACAGAAACAGACTTACAAACGCACATACGTACTCGTCCGAATTTAATCAGAAATATTTAAGATCTTGAATTTGAGTTCTTTAAATGGATATAAATAAAACTTTGGATCGATTTTTGTGGATTGAATTAAAAAATTCCACATTTATTACCACGATCGTACGCTATTGATAAATCTAATGTGAATCACAAAAATAGCTGTTATTTATTATAATTACGACGATTCACAAATACGATGCACAAATTGCGCCTAACAATTGTCATATGAACAGGTACAAATCTCTTGTCATGGCTCTAAATCACAAAAGAGATGACTAAAGTGATTATTTTTATGACGATTCCTTTTTATGAGTATTTTTATGATGATTACGCTAAAGTTGATAGAATTAATTTTTCGTGTCTAAAAATAGTTGAAAGGTTGAGGTAAAAAGCGGAAGTTTTTTCAGCTAAGTGCCAGAAGTGTTAATTGTTCCTTGCTATGTTATATTCAAATGTATTTTTTATATATTGAATTTAAATATCGAATAATAATCGAATTTAAATAATAAACATAAATATAAAAATTGAATATAAAAAAATATATCGTATTTTTAATAAAGTTGTTATTTTAGTTTAGTGTTTCTATCATAATTAAAATATTAACTCACAAACAATATTTCTACAAATATGAAAATTTACATTTTCTTTTCTTATAATTTAAAATGTAGCTTTTGGCGCTTGGTTGATGTCCATTTTTTAATGTTTTCATAATACTGAATACTTAAATGGGAATTATATGGGAAAAAGTAAGCGCCTAACGTAATGATGATTAAGATGGTTTAAACTTTCTCGACATCAATGCGACCTATTGTGACTGTATCGTACCTATCATTGTATACTTTATAATTTACATGGGAAACAAGCTATCGCACGTGATGTAACGATTATGCCAACAAACTCGAGAACAATGTGTGATAAAGCGTGCAAAAAGAAGGCAGCTTACGACGGTGTGAAAAATCACTCTCGTCGGAAAAGCTGCAAAATGCGCTCTCGTTTATGACGCGCACAAACCCCGTAATTCTTTTATCGACGCGGATACGCAAGTATTATTATTTGTGAGAATAAAAAAAGAAACAGAAAAGTTGTAAACCCTATTTCTAATCTACATTTCAATTTCACAAAAATAATTACCTCTCGGTTTAATTATCAATTTTGTTGACGACATTAGGTTGGGAATTGTCTAGAAATTTAACGAAAGTTTGCTTTATTCGCAATTTTTTATTGAACTTAAATTAATATTTTATTAATTAATTTGCGCGATTAACAGTCTTCGTACCGCGCCGATAATCCACTAGCTCACACTTTAGCATAGAGAATCTCTCGTTATCTTTTAACTGTGATTTCTCAAAGTGTCCTGTTTAATCTCGTTAGTTAGTTTGTACCGATCGTTTCAGGAATATTTTTAAGACGTTGCACTTTCTTCCTACGCACCTTATCGTTTTATATTATTTATATAACGACACGGGTAAGATATTCCGATCTAACGAGATCCCGTTTTGCGAGATCTGCAGTCCACTGTAGCTGCAGGTAGCGTTGTCCGATTATATATATTGACGAAATACCAAACTATTTAATAATTTTTCTAAATAAATAAGCGCGTAATTTATTCACACATATACATATATATATATATATATTTTTGTCTATATATAGTAGTAGTAGTATATATATATATATATATATATATATATATATATATGTATATGTATATATATACACAATAGACTGCTGAATATACTTTTGCAAATACCATTTCGCTTCTCTTGTACAATTCGTATTTAAATTATTACGGATGTATGTAAACACTTGGTCTACACCGATTATACGGACTAGATATTCTGTAATTAAAAGCCTCATCGAGAAACCCCACTTTGGATCAAATTAAATTACTCTCGTTTCCTATGTACATAATCACGCTCGACGTAGCTTTCCCGTCGGTCCAAATCTAGACGAGCGTCAAGTAACTAGATTAATGACCATGAGATAAAAACAATTGATGCGCGACGTTAAATTCTTGACTGAGAGGATGGGTACGTCGTCCACGATAATATTTGTCGCGTCGTGCTTAACGTTCGATAGTCATTCCACCCTTGTCACGCGTGCAATGCGTCCCACTCTTGTGGAATATTAAAAGTATCCTGAAGGGAAGGATATTGATATGTGATAGCTGGAATATCCGAATAGCTATGTCACTTGCGCGAGTTTCGCGTCTGACAAGCGCGTCCGAAAGAGCGAATATATTTTAAAACAGGCCAGAAATATCTGAGAGCACGCTTCCGACGTCATAATCGAAGATGATTAATATAGATATACAAGAAAATGGTCGCCCTTTGCGACGGTAAATTTTAATCGCGATCGTCCGATTGTTCGCCGTTTATTATAATTTCAGTAACACGATAAATCTGAGCACCGTGTGTGGTCTCGAAATGCCAGTAATTGAGAACTGATCGATAGATAGAAAAAAAAATAGACTATTTTCCTATTATTTTATATTATATATAAAATATTATATTTTATATCTCGCAGCCGGGTATTTTTTTTCCTCCAATGTCTGTCCTATAATTTTATATTACTGAAACGGAGATTGAGTGAAATTTTAGGGTGGTATATTCCGCACAATTTAGAGCTACCATAAATTAAAAAAAAATATAAAAATAAATCGTGATGTTTCACGCGCGATTTGTCCCGCAGAGGATTTTTCGCGCGGGCGATAATATCGAATGGTGAATTCCTCTTTTGCACATCGCTGGAGGACTCGCCGCGTGTATTGCCCGTCGTAACATACAAGTAACACGAGGTGGCTGACAGTCCACTGTAAATACGTCAGTGATAGTAATATCGATAAGAATTAATTTAGCATGAAATATACAGACGTAGTTGCGTGTACGTAGCTGTCATTAAGTGAAAAAACGAACACCGCGAGACGGATGCTTTCCGGTGAAGCGGCGCTATCGCCGCGCATCTACATCTCGTCTATCCATTCATATTTCCTCTCCAATCTTCCACTCGTTGTCATCAACATCACCTGTAATAAACAGCTCGGCGCTTTAGTTGTGATGTCGTACTTATCATGCCAAGATAATGAGGCGCTGTTTTTACGTTGATTGACTTATCGCGGGGGTATTAGCATAAGATAGTAATAGTAGTAGCGCATGTAAACGGTAGAAATCGTCGGAATAAGCGTGACATCAGATAATCGTGACACCGCGATGTTTTTCAGCGATGAGAATAATAGTTATTGTGTAAGACCGCTGGGAGATAATGGCGATTTGATTTAATATTTATTATAAGACTATTAGAAAATGATGTACGCGTTACTTCGATTATCAGTAA